TAGCGGTATTTAAATATATAATTATATAAATTTAATTCATAGAATAATTGACCTGATAAGAGCACAATTGCTGATTTTGATTAGCAACTCACAAGGCCTACAGCTTTAAGAACTCATATGATTATCAACAATTGAAGGTTTTAATCAATTAAATTTTGTTTTTTTAAATTTTGTCACTCAACATTCTGATCCTGCTCATTATTGATAAGAAGACAGAGCAATTAAAGAATGCTTTCCAAGATTCAAGCAGCATACTTTAAGCAATGACATTAATTTTTTTTTCCTCCCTAAATTAGAGACAGAAGAAACCCTACTGAAAAAATAAAAATTACAAAATAAAATAATAAAAATTACAAAATTCTGATGTAGTAACAATTAAAACAGTCTCATCACACTCACTGTTACACAGATTTTCTTTTGTGTTGCAAAATTAAGGAACTTACAACAAAAATTAGATGCTAATTAGAGGGAAAAGATAGTGCGATGCTTACCTCTCAAAATCAGTACTCTTCTCGCGTTTCAATTGGGACGAATCAGAATAAAAAAATCAGAAGAAGCCTGCTCGGTGCTCTACTTTCAAATTTACGACTAAGGGAGAATTGGAAAAGGGGAATCAAGAGGGACAATCGGAGAAGGAGATTAGAAGGAGAGAATCGTGGCGAAGGAAGAGAAGAAGAGATCGTTGTGTCAGCCAAAAAGGAGGAGGACATTTCGGTGTTCTGCAACGATCTAAACAGGGAAGAAATTAGGGGGCTTTTATGTTAAAAGATATTTAAAAACCAAATATACCCTTACAAGTAAAAGCTATTTGCAAAAGATTGAAAAAAAAAGGGCAAATATGAAATTTTAAACTACTTATTCAGTTACGGTCATTGCAGCCGCTATCCGCCATGTGGGTAGTAGCCGCCATTGCAGCTAAAATGGGCGCTATTGTACTGTAGGTTGTAAAATCGGGAGATTGTGTGATTTGAAAGGATTTTAGAATGTAAATTCATTTGGGTTTGTAAATGGTAATTAATAATTTTTTAATTAGTAAAATAAAAAATATTTTTAATTTATAGATAATTTTTTAAAATTAAAAATTTAACAGTTTA